AGAGGGGTTTATTACAGGTATGTGGTGGCACTTCTAAAAGGGTGGCTAGCAGAGGTGCTCTTTAAAGTGCAACTTCAGTGTAAGTCATATGGGTTGTTTTGTAGTACATCACCAAATCAATATTATTGTAACGAGCTCATAAAGCTCCTGTGCAAGCATGAAGACATGCTACATGCTAGATACGCTGTGACAGCATGTAAATACCATGAATGTGTATCTTCCTGCAGTACTGTTGTTAATAACTGCCATTTTATTTAAGGAAGAACTACTTTATTTCTGTGTTCATTCGGTGAGCTTATTTAACACTGTACTGACAATAAATGGTGGTTCAGTGTTCATTTTGGTGGATTTAACTGACATTCTGTCTTGCAGAATTAACATTTTGTATTATTACTAAATTGTGTACGTTTTGGTACAGAACTACTTTTTCAGTTTCAGTAAAACAATCTCAAACTTACTGGCTTAATTGTGATACTTTAAGATTACCTCATGATGTAGTGAAATAACTTAGCAAGCAACCTAAAAGGTTGGGAAAACTTTGTTGTAGCATACAGTACTAAAGACAATGGGTATATGATACCAGAACTTCTCACCTTGTATTGCAGAAGCCGTTACACATATATTCTCTTTAAAGCTGAATTATGCATTTTGCCCAAAAGGGGGGCTCTCACTTTGACATTATCGGTTCTTTCCATTGAGGCCTATCTGGGTGTTTCTCCTGTCTACCAGAAAATTACTGAATTCTACTCTGGGTAGTTCCTTGCACGTCCACCACAATGAAACCTTTAAAGATTTTTAAACTTTGTAACTTGCAACATGAATTTTGAAAACTGCTTTCACTAAGAAAACAATTTTATCAAAATGGGTCATACTGTATGTTCTTGAAAGGCAAGTTAATGTAGTCTGGCTTTAACAGTCAGGCCAGCTATCCTCAGAGCAGTCTACTCTCTGACTTGGAAGTCTCGGATGGGAAGCAGAATAAACCCACCCGTGATTCCAGAGGAAACAGTCAGAGAGCTACTTCTCCATCTGGACTACCACATGTCCGTGGGGCCAGATGAGATTCATCCAAGAGTGCTGAGGGAACTGGCAAAGGCAATAGCCAAGACACTTTCCATCACCTGTCAGCGTTCCTGTCAACTGGAGAGGTTTCAGAGGACTGGAAGGTCATAAAGAGGAACTGGAGAACCATAGGCTGTCCTCCTGCCCTCAGTGCCAGGGAAGGTTATGGAGCAGATGTGTACCCAGACTTCAGCAGAGCCTTTGACACTGTCTCCCACTGTACTGTGAAGAAGCTGGCAGCCTGTGGCTTGGACAGGTACATTCTTGGCTGGGTAAGGAACTGGCTGGAAGGCCAGGCCCAGAGGGTGGTGGTTAAATCCCAGAGCATGGAGTTCAATCCAGCTGGTAACTGGTCATGCGTGGTGTTCCCCAGGGGCCAGTGCTGGGGTCTGTGCTCTCCAGTATCTTTATTGATGACCTGGATGAGGGCATTGCACTCTCAGTAAGTTTGCAGATGACACCAAGTTGGGCAGGAAGTGTGGATCTGCCTGGGGGTAGCGAGGCCCTACAGAGGGATCTGGACAGGCTGGATCGCTGGGCTGAAGCCAATGGGATGAGGTTCAACAAGGCCAAAGACCGGGTCCTGCACTTGGGCCACAACAACCCCAGGTCGGCCTCTTCGCCTGTGTAACTGGTGATAGGACTAGAGGGAAGGGCCTCAAATTGTGCCAGGGGAGATTCAGGTTGGACGTTAGGAAATACTACTTCTCTTAAAGAGTGGTCAGGGCTGCCCAGGGAGATGGTGGAGTCACTGACCCCGGAGATGTTCAAGGAATGTTTAGATACTATGCTGGGGGATATGGTTTAGTGAGAAATACTGGTGATTGGTGGATGGTTAGACTGGGTGTTGTAGGTCTTCTCCAACCTCGGTGATTCTGTGATTCTGTGAAGAGTGAAAAAAACATTTGAATACCACATCAATAACTGTTGAATAATAGAAGCTCTACAAAGAAATTCTTGTGTTCATTCACGTGTTAGCTTTTAGTCAATATCCCAATAGACATCCTGGAAACAATAATTTGGAGCTGCAATCAGATGTGTGTCTTAAATATCAGGCTATACAGCTGCGCTGTCCCTGAGGAAGGGAGATCACTATCTATTACTGTGCATTTCCTTGAAAAGATTAAAAGGCCAGATATGATTTATTTATATATATTTCTACTTTTCCTCTGGATGCTTTTTCAGTCTCTTCAGTGCTACAGTTTTCATGCCAGAATCAGAGATTATTATTTCATAGTTGGTAGAAAGTTAAGGGAAGTACAGGAAGTGCAGTATTTCACTGCGTGCAGTAGCGTATTTCAACACTACCGCAAAATTGGTGTAGCCCCACTGTTTCAGTACAGGGAGTCCTGCTTCTTTTGAGTCTTTGGTGAAACGAATCCATCTGCCCTGGAATCAAGTTCTCAGAACTGCAGCAAACTAAATGCTATATTATTACTATGCTTTATGAAATTTTTTAAGACCTTAGCAAAGAAAAATTGTAAAAGCTCTGGCACTGCCCCCTAGCTTACTTTACCCTTTTGCTTTGGTTTATCTTCTTCTGCGGCCTGACTCTTTTGCTCCTGCTACGCCCCAGTCCTGTCCCTGCTGTTTGACATGGAAGCTTCAGAGTTGTCCACTTTGATTTATCTTCAGCCAGCTGAAGAAGTTAGCAGTGAAGAGTCCTTTGCCTATTCTTACTGACAGGACAAGCAACTTCTGCTCATGCGATGAAGGGGCACAGACCATATGCACACCTAACACAGCTACCAAAAACCTGTAGCAGATATTTCCCTGGTTACTGAATGCACATGTGTCAGCAAGAACCTCAGCATGAGAGATGCTCAGCAGACACACCAGCTTACAAGAGTGAACAAGGCCATGTACCAGCTTGCTTCTCATAGAAGAGCTCAAGCAGATCCAGCAGTTTGGATAGTTTTCACTATCCAGTTTCAGGCGTGAACCCTGCTCTAATGCAAATACATCCGAGAACAGCTGTGGCAGATGGCTCAAGGTGGAATGAGAACTCTTAACTAATTGTATCATTCTTGTCTGCCTGTTCTGGGACATAGCTTCCTACTTTAAAGATCTCTTTTTTCTGCCTCATTTTGCTTATGGCAGACTGCACTTCATAAAGATACCTGCTGATAAGATCTGGACTTTGTGTGGTGCCCTCATTACTGCAAAAGCTTCTTGGCTTCACAGATGTTCTGGCCTGCAGATGACGATTCTATTTCATGCAGACCCATCTTGCTTGTACTGCAATTACATCCATCCAGTGATGTTCCTAGTGCTGACAGATCTGGATCTTGTCCTCCCGCCTAGAGATTGCTGCTGCTTGCATTGCCTTATACCATCCTCTAGGAAGAGGTCTGCCTCTGAAGCTGTACCTCTACAGTGCTCTAGGGACTCTGCAGTATACTATACAACATAAAATGTCCTAGTGTCCCACTTTCCCCACTGCTTTACATTCATCCAGCTTCATAATCTACCCAGGGAGACACCGAGGGCTTTAGCTCTGGGTTCCTACTTTGGCTATCTGGAAAAATGTGCTGGGTTGGCTTACGCTGGCAGCTAAGCTCCTTGCCCAGCTGCTTGCACACCTTACCCTGCAGGACTGAGAGAACTGGAAGTGCAAAGGGGAGAAAAGTTGCTTCCCACTTTCACTGTAACAAAATGCCAGTCTGCAAGAGCAAATAGAAGCCAGTCCATTAGCAAAATGTATGTTGCAGACTACACAGCTGTCGTTCCACATCCTCAGAAAAGAGGTCATCAGGCACACTGAGAGGCAGTCCTCCTGCTGACAGAGAGCTGTTTAAAACAGCACTGACAACCATACTTTAAGCTTAAAAAGAGTGGGGAATGTCTACTTCTACCCTTCTTTCCCCAGCTCTGGTTTCTCAGCCAGTCTTAGCTCATACCTCATAGCTAATCAAGCCTGCCTTCTATACACTGCACTGGTATATTACCAAGGAAGAAGAACCTTTAAAAAAAATGGTATTGAGAATAAGCCGAGAGCTAGTGTAAAAATATAGCAGTCCAGCTTATTTCCTTTCTTTCAGACATGAGAGGTGGCAGAGCTCTACCTTGCTTGCCGTGAGCTGGCCAAGTTCAGGGATACTGAAAGGGCTAAATTCAGTTCAACTTTCATGGCTACAGGTTCTAAGAGGATTTGTCATTAGCAGGCAGGCCTACGAGCCACGTGGCAACATTGCTGCTAAGAGAGTTTCTGACTAAGCAGAACTGCACTTTTTCAGGAGCTATCTCAGGGCTCCCAGGTGAAATGGTTTCTAGTCTAGTCCAGTTTCTAGTCTAAAGAGCTTGACTCTCACTGAAGAAGTGTTCTGACAGCAACTTCTTTGATATTTGATAAAGCACCCTAAAATGGTGCTCTAAAATCCATGGGGAACAGTCACTTGTCTGCAAAACAACACCACAACATCCCTGATGCAAAATCACATAACGAGCAACCCTAGTGTTGAGATTCTGTCAGCGACTTCTAACATCCAAATTGCGCATTCAAAGCATTTTGTAAATTATCTGTTATACAACTGAATTTTAACAGCTGCACTCCAATTCGTGGAGTCGGAGGCCTTTTGCAATATAAACTCACTGCCAGCAGCGGACAGCAGCGCACGCTCGGTCTGACAGCAGCTGTAAAGGATGAAGGTGACGAAGCGGGCATTCAGACCAGAGCCTGATTGAGATGCACGGGAGAAAATGCACGTTTCAGTAACAAGGAAGAACAAACATTCACACTCAGTTTATAACCTGCCTCCGCTTTCCCACAGCGCAGAGCGGCCTGGCGACAGCTCCTGCGCAGGCAGGCGGGGAGGCAGGGGCTCGCTTCCGCGGTAGCAGCCCAGCCCCCCCGCTCGGCGGCTCGGCATTTAGGGGCCGCGCCGCGCCGCCGGGCCGCAGGGTGGCGCCCGCTGCCTCCTCCGGGCCGCGCCGCTCTATCCGCCGCCATTTTTTGCCGCCGCCGCCGCCAAGATGGAGGCGCCTCCCGTTACCATGATGCCCGTTACGGGCGGCACCATCAACATGATGGAGTACCTGCTGCAAGGTATGGCGCGACGCCGGCACCGAGCGGCCCACCGCCGTCCCCGCGATGCTCCCGACGGGCACCGGGGCCGTACGCGGGGCTCGGCCGCAGCGCGGGGTCGAGGCGGGCGCACGGCCGGCGCGGCGCGGGTGCGGGCGCGGGCGGCGGAGGGGCCTCCGCGGGGAGGGGGCGAAGGGAGCAGCGGCTGAGCCGTGTCCGTCCGCCACAGGAAGCGTTTTGGATCAGAGCCTAGAGAGCCTGCTGCACCGCCTGCGCGGGCTGTGCGACAACATGGAGCCGGAGACCTTCCTGGACCACGAGATGGTGTTCCTGCTGAAGGGGCAGCAGGCCAGCCCCTTCGTGCTGCGGGCGCGGCGCTCCATGGACAAGAGCGGCATGCCCTGGCACCTGCGATACCTGGGGCAGCCGGAAATCGGAGACAAAAACCGGCACGCGCTCGTGCGCAACTGCGTGGACATCGCGACTTCGGATAATCTGACGGACTTCCTGGTGGAGATGGGCTTCCGCATGGATCACGAGTTCGTGGCCAAGGGGCACGTGTTCCGCAAGGGCATCATGAAGATCGTGGTGTACAAGATCTTCCGCATCTTGATGCCCGGCAACACGGATAGCATCGAGCCTCTCTCCCTGTCCTACCTTGTCGAGCTTAACGTTGTCGCTCCGGCGGGACAGGACGTGGTTTCTGATGATATGAGGAACTTTGCGGAGCAGCTGAAGCCCTTAGTGCATCTGGAAAAAATTGACCCTAAAAGGTTAATGTGATGAAAAGCTGGGCAGCTTGAGCAGTGCTGTTGCCGATAGTCCAGTAGGAACTAACCTTTGTTCAAATCACCCTATGTATCTTTAGATGTAGTAAGGGTGTGCAGTCAGGATGTCCGTGTTTGAAAGCACTGGCATGATTAAGTAGAATCATAGAATTATGGAGTCTTTGAAGATGGAGTGCCTTGAAAAACACGTGCAGTTAACTGGCTTGACTAGCATAGCCTTGCTGTAGCCAGATGAGTGATTGGACTCCAGTGCACGCAGAACTTTTGTTCATGGACTCCACTGTGTCCCCTCCCCTGCTGGAGCAGTAAGTGATAGCAAGGTGCAACACTTAAAAATACTGACCTTATGGTGTTGGGCTGGGAGGGGCTAGAGGCTTTGATTTATTGGTTTTGTTTTGTTTGGTAATTTGCCAGCATGTAGTATGTGGTTATGCACGTAGATGCACGCTTAAGAGCAGAGTGTGTGTAATTTTTGATAAAAGCTTTTGTTGGAAATGTGAGGACCACTCCCTTGTCTGAGATTCACCCCGACTAAGGGGAAGAAAATGAAATGTTGTGGTATGCAATGGTGGCCAGTGTATAAATTGTACAGGGAAGAGTGGCCAGAAATGGGGGCCTTGAAAGGGAAAGATAAAATCCTTTCTGGACTATTTAAATGTGAGCTTGGAAAGATTTTAACTCATGAATTTTTGTATATGCCAGGATGCATTTGTTATAAAATGATTATTATACTAGACAGAAATATAAGTTGGTGGAAATTAATTTGAGGGCTTTAGTGATATTATCTGAATGTGGGAAGAGCAAAAATAAAAAAAATGTTGCTCTGCTTGTGATATTGGAAAAAAGAATGTATTAAGCGACACAAATAAGAAGAAATGCAGTTGCTAATGGCTGGTTCCACAGAGGAGATAAATGATGATGGTGCTGGTTGGTGGGAAGGAGCTAAGGGAAAGTTAAGCCGTGAGGTCAGAAAGACTTGTGGTCTTTTCTATGTCAGGGCTGCTACAATAGCCAGCAGCCACTGAGGATCCTGTGAGACAAACAGGGGGCCTGAAGAATTGCCTGAGTGCACGTTCCCTTGTCTGCCTCCAGTGTGATAAATCAGAAGTCTGTCAGTTACAGAAATCCCTGAGAGAAGAAAGCAAGAAAAAACAGGTGGCTGAAATTCCATCTAAAATCATGGTTGCTGTAATTCCTCCTGTTTCTTTGGTGAGAAAAGCATGGGAGAGCCACGTCTGACAAGCTGGTAAAAGCAGAATTGAAGTCAGGAGCTAAAACATAAGCTAAAAAGTAAGATGGAAAAAATATCCTATGAAACTGGAGGCCCATATTGGGCTACAACATGTATGGGCTATTCCAGGAATGCCAGTCTGAATGTAACAATCCCATTCTGCCTGTTAAAGACCAAGATCTTAAGTTTATCGATTAGTTCTAGATTTGAGAGCTGTCAGTCAAATACTTACCAATATGCATCCCGGAGTATCTAACCACTACACTTTGCTGACCCATACAGCTGATTCTAATGTTGGCAGTTTTAAAGACCTGAAAGATACTCTCCTAGAAAATCCAGACTGGAAGCTGTTCATGAATGGAAGCAGCTCTGTAGTTGGCTGAGAATGAAAAGCTCTGGTATGCAATTATAACCTGGTAAGAAACAGAATTAAGACCGTTGCCAGCCAGTATGCAGGCTCAGAAAGTTGAGCTAATCACTCTGACTCGGACATTAAAACTGTCAAATGCAAAGTGAGTTAACATTTGTCCTGAAATATGTCTCTGGAGTAATACATACTGTGTAGTGGTTTGGAAATAAAGAGAATTACTATGATCTCAAGGAAATCCTATCAAATATAGCACAGAAATTATGAGATTGCTTGACACAGCTAGTTAGAAATCTAAGAGAAGCAGCAGTAATTGCAAGGCATGCCAGACTGAACAGACTGATGTTATCGAAGGGGACAGAGAGTAGGTGAAGCCGTCAAGAAAATAGTTGTGAGTAAGTGTAGGAACCATGCTTGCTGAGAAGTTCTTGAATACTAGGACTCCTATTCGTATGAAAAGCAGGGTAAGTTAGCTCCTGGAATTAAGCAGTTAAGGAACACGTAGGAGTACTATGTGGGTGGAAGCTGTAGTTAAGAAGCTATACAGTTATTGATTGCTAAAAGTATGCTCCAGATGTGCAGGACTTGTCTTAAAAATAATGCTAAAATTCAGAGACCGAGGAGAGGTACTTGGCTACTTGGACAATATTGGCAATGAAACTGAAATTGGAATATTTTTTCCTGAATGATCTGAGTGTAATGGATATAAATAATTATTGCTATTGGTTGACACCTTTTCATGGCATGAGGCATGCCTGAGCTGAACCAAGAAAGCAAGAGAAGTAGTTAGCATTTTAGTAAAGGAAATAATTCCAAGATCTGGATTTCCAAGAGAACTCTTGTCAGATAGAGTACCTAATTGTAGAGCAAAAATATCTCAAGGAATATCTAGGTTCCTGAAAATGAAAAGGGACTTCACTTTGGGGGTGACTGGAACGGGCTGCCCAGAGAGGCTGTGGAATCTTCTTCTCTGGAGATACTCAGAACCCACCGGGACTCTTTCCTGTGTGATGTGCTGTAGGGAGCCTGCTTTAGCAGGGGGATGATCTCCAGAGGTCCTTTACAAACACTGCAGTTCTGTGATACTCTCATTTCTTTAAACCAGGAGACCAAGTGTATTTTCAAACTTGGCAGGAAAAAATGTTTGAGACGTGGAAAGGACAAATATTGCAGTAACAGGGATTAACTCTTGGATTCATTACACCAGGACAAAGGCAGATCCAGCAGGAGGAGTGAAGAGCTGAAGTTGATTGAAGCTGAAAATGAAACAGAATACTCAGGTGTAAGTGCAGTTCATGGACCTACCCACTTAGGATTGGAATTTTCTCAGAGAATATTACTCTTGCTGATTTCACATCTGATTTCACTTGTTCTGTAATCTTTTGCTTATCTGTGTCACTCTACAGATATCAAGGGAACTAGGTGGGAGTGATGCTCCTCATTTGCCTTTGGATGGTGAAGAAAACTGAGGCAAGTGTATCAGAACCAGGAAACAAATGGAATTGGGATGTGTTTCATAAAATAATCCGAAACACAGTTCTGATTGCTGGGTTTGTGCTCATCTTCCAGATCGCACTGAGCAGGCAGCTTCATTAGTTGTGGTACCCATCCCACCTAATGTATCTTGGAGATACTTACCAATTGGGAGTTTTTTTACAGTTAATAAAGAAAATACATCCATTACAAAAAGAGTCTGAGGCAGGAATGATGGCCCTTTAAAATAGAGTGGCCTTAAAGATGTTTGCATCAAAAGGAGGGATTTTTACAGTGCTTAACGCTAACTGTTGCTTGTATGTCAACCAAAGTGGTAAAATTTCTGCAGATTTGGAAGGAATTTCAGAAGCAGACAAAAATATGGCATGAGGTTCAGAAAGGCAGTACTTTTTTGGAGAAACAATCCAATGGCAGTCGATGGAATGGCACTTCCATCAACCCAGCCTGATGCATTAGTTTCACAAAAGCAAGGTCAAATATCCCACTATTTATGTGTTTTTGTTGCTCTCTTTTTTTAATGTTTTATTAAAAATTGTATATTTAAAAATATTTGTTAGTTATATACATTAATTATGTATTTTCTTTGCAATTCTTTTTCACTCAGTACAACCCAAAATTTTGGACAAACATGAAGTAACCTTTATACAAGTTTTTGGATGTGTATCTTTTATCACAGAATGTATTTATATACATAAAAATATGTATAAAAAGTGCAGCTTTGTAGGAGACTCCCTAGCACCCAAACTTGCACAGCTTTGCAGTAAATCAGTATCTCGTCTCTGCATGTGAGGTTGGCCTAAATAACACTGGGTGACAAATATGCCTTTCAGACGACAGTCTTGTCAGGATTCTTGAGGAGGTTGTTGTTCTAAAATGCCTTTTGAAGGCAAATCAAAACATGGGGGAGGGGAATAAAGGACAACATACTGGTGTTTTGCTACTTGCAGTTCCTGAGTATTTTTTTCCTCATTAATTTGTGTGTGTGAGTGAAAGTAGACTCTTCTTTGAAAGTAATCCCATCCAGAATCTCACTTAAAAAAAGGCATTGGTGTTTTTCACCACCTCATGGGAGAAATATTCCATGGAAAGCATAGTGCCCAACAGTCCATCAAATGTTACTCACGTTCATCCTCATCTGTACCCACACCTTTACGGTGTTTTGTGTTAAAGCTTTCCTGTGCGCTACCTTTTTCTTCTAATACTTCAAGTTAAGTGTGCACTGGCATCCCGGAAGGCCAACTGTGTTCTGAGCTGCATTAAAAAAGGGGTGGCCAGCAGACAGAGGGAGGTGGTTGTCCCCTCTGCTCGGCTCCTGTGAGCCCCATCTGCAGCACTGCATCCAGTTGCTGTAAGGTTTCAGATACCACACCCATAAAACGCTTCAGGGAGAAACTATTCAGGTTAACAAATTAAGTTTTCAACACTGGAACTTGGTCAAGATAAAACGCAACTGGATTAGTGCTCGAGTGCACACTCTACCATAAAAGCAGCATGGGCAAAACAGTATTTTAACACTGATAAAGAACACCATTATGCTGATCTGCCAGAGATTTTCAAACAGGATGCGAACAATAAGATGACCTGTGTGACTTCACTAAATAATTGGACTCAAAGTACTTTGTGGAGCATACAGCCATACCTACAGTTCATCTGCTCAAACTCTCACATGACTGGTGCTCATCGGTCAGCACACAAACCTGGGGTTTTGAGTTCCTTGTTGTCACCCAGCACAACTTTCCAGCTGCAGAGGAGTAATTCCAGGGCTCTGCCCATGCCAGGAAGCTGAACTTGCTGGGTTGCTTTATGACTCAGTTACAATCCCATCCCTCATGGTGAAATTCTTCAGAACTGTCATTATGCCCTATTAGTCTAATTAGGAATCGCTTGCCAAGAACCATGTTGGGATGGAACCATCATGGGAGCGTCTGTCCCATCGCACAGAAATTTAGAAAGAAAGCAAGTAGATAACAAGTCTTGAGCTTTACATGCTTTTCAGAAGATAAACTTATTTGTAAGTAAACATGAAGATGTGTAAGTAAGCAACCGGTGTGTAGCCACTTCCCATTGCACCTGAAAGGAACTCAGACAAAATTTGGAAGGTGAATCAGCAAGTGGAGGGACAAATCAAATATGAAGACTTGCTGTGTTGCAATGCTTTTATTGGCTCAGAACAGCAACAGAATCAGGGAGTCAAGGCTCAAATAAAGCTTTAAAAACAAGGAGTATGGCAGGAGGATCTACTTCAGACTCCAGCATGCAGTTGCTTCCAAGCATTTCCAAGTCTTCTCAGCTCCTTTACTTCTCATCTCTGAAAATAAGGGACTCAAAACAACCTTTATAAACCACCACATTATAATTTCTTTCTTTTTTTTTTTTTTTTTAAGTGGGAAAGGAGTTGTTAATGTTATGGTGATAGGAAAATCTCACATGGAAATTCAGGCAAAGCACCTCAAACAAAAGTAGAATCAAAAGGTCCAAATTAAAGAGAAGTTCTTATGTTTTAGACAACATAGTTGGACCGTGCAATAGTTGGACCTATTTCTTGTCCTCCTCAAAAGTTCATTTTAAGAGAATTAGTTTAAACTTAAAATTGCAGCAATTCATCTAGGCTTCCTTATTCTAACACATCAGAGGCAGGTGTGCAGAAAAATAACCTTGCTGCATTAGTGGTTACAGCTTAAGAAAAATGTACACCATCAGGCACATAATGGTCTGAAGTGCATCCCTTCCTGTTTATCTACTGAAACATAGTTTTCTCCTTGTATGAAGCTTTTTACTGCTGAAGAGTAAAGGCAACAGCAATGCCATGAGTCACACATATGGGTAAATTGTGTGGCATAAGTAATTATTAACACCCAGGGCCAAATTATATTGTAGCTGTTCAGATGGCTACAAAAAGAGCTCAGCCTCCCCTTACTAGAAAGCGTGCGTTTTTTAATTACAAATCAAGAAGGCTTTTTTTTTCTGTTCTTTTTTTTCTAGAAGGGAAGAGCAGGGTGGCACAGGGAGCGATTTCTTTTTAGCCAGATGAAATAGCTGCACTTGAAGGCAGGGCTTGCAGCAGGACTCGCTGCATTTGTTGCATTATATTACCCAGGGCCTGATGCAACTCAGCTTAAGGTAAGTTTTCTTTTTTTGTGCAAATGATGCCATTCTATTACCTCACGCTCTTCCTCTCATCTTGCTTGCCTGTAAGGTTCCCACAACTTAAATGATTTCTGCATAAGAAGCAGAAATCCCCACATAACCAACAAAGGAGGGCCTGTTACTGATCCACTAGGAAGCAGTTATTCCTGCTATTAAGAAAGCCTGCTCTGCACCACCTCTTCTCAGTTCTCAGCAATTCTTTGTATTTTAGAAGAAGTACAAATTGATTGTATTTCTGGCATTTCTCAGCCCTGGATCTCCATTCTCCCCACACACGCTTTCCTGATGTTATTTCTGTACAAATGAACACAGAAGCTTAAATACAACTTTGGAAGTCCTCTATATTAAAACTATACTGTACAGGAGTATCGTCTAACATGCTTCTGATATGCTAGTACAGAATGAGATTTTTCACACATCAACAGCTCATGTGGCATTCCAGTTTTCACTTCAGCAACCTCAGTAACACAAGCAAGCTGCTTTCTGTTAAATGTTTTACATTACTACACTGCAGTACGGCATACAACTTCATATAAAATCCAAAGGTTGGTTACAGCGTAAAATATTGAAGTAAGTTTCCTTTAAAGCACTGAAAGTTAGAAATAACTACAAACCAGGGGTTTTCTTCATAATTTTTAATACTTTTCACTTTAAATACTGGTTTTAAATTTGTGATTGTAACATAGAAGAGCCAACTTTTAATTTTTAAAACTTATCATTAGGATCATAAAGCTATTATATAACAGTTACACTCTACACACTCAAGGTACTCAAAAATATGATTCATGTTCTGAGTCTGTAGATGAACAGTGGCAATTCAAATACAGCGTTATCTGTACAACGTGACAAAAATACAGGTGGACAATCTGATTAGTTTAAAGAGAATCTCACAACTTCAGATAAGCCAGCTCAGCCCAACTAAATAAAGGTAATTTCCCCTCAGCCCCTAAAATGCACCGTACTTCTCACACCTAAGTTGCTCACAGTAAGTTGTTCAGTTTCCCAGACAGGCTGGCAATGACTATTGCTCATCCTCGCTCCCATGAGGAGTTCTGTCAGGCTATTTCCTTAGACTGCCATATCCCCAGCCCTTCACGTGGGCTCAATTTACAGAGACAGCTATCCTAGAGCAAAGGGCTTCTGCGATTCTGCTAAGAAAATCATAGCAGTATTCTACAGATCCATTAAGAGGATGAAAAGAACAGAGTGCTCCTAATTGTGGCAGTGTCTGGACAAGGGGTTCAGCTCTGGAGAAATTTTATAAAACCATAACAGGAAGATCCCTTCTGGAAGAAAGGCTCTGATGGCCACTTGCACACAGGCAGTCCAACAGGCCTAAAGAAAGCTGCTTTCTTTTTTTTTTTTTAGGTCTTTTAATCCTATGCCTCAATCTTGCAACTCCTCCCACAATTTTAGGAAGCCTCTTTCAACACTGATTGGGCAGGGCTAACTGCAGTGAAGTACCAGTGCCTTTATCTAAAAGTAAAGTGTATTCTTTACAAAGAGTATCTGTAGTGTGATTTTATTTACAGAATAGATCACAAAAGTACATCACATTTAGTGCAAATGCAACTAATGATAAAAGATTTATATACTGCTTTGTGAACTTTCCATTCCTTTGTAAAATAAAGCTATCCAATTAAATTAATAAACAGTTACTCACCTGTGTTTAACAACTGCTATCAGAAATGGCAAATAAGGAATCACACTCTTTTGGACATTTTTTTTTTCTCTTTTGAAGTTCCCATCAGCAGCTATGGTGAATGAATCGTTGTTTGTTGATTGTAAAAAGATGAAGTACAGTTGAGGTATAAGAATTATTTTTCAACATTACTATATAAAATGCTCACTGGTGATATAGTAAACATGTATAAATTTTTGTCTCGTTTGCCTTACTAGCATTACCATATAGGCACTTTTCTACGTATTCAAATTAACAGAATAGTTCTGTAATAAGGCATATTCCATGCACACTTTCAGAGAAAGGCAAATAAAAAAGGTACAGTTATGGAGCATGAAATCCGCGTGCATGTGTAATCACGTGCTATGTGTGGTTTTATCTCAACAGAGAAAATGAACAGGTAAAAGAACATGTTTTTTTTCTAACACTGTGAATATCCCCTTTATCATTCACCAGATCTTTATTAAGTTACTCTCTTATATAGTTATTTTCAGGCACCTACTATACTCTATCAAATACAACTTTCTCCTTTCTTTTGAGAAAAATAGATATCTGAAACTCTTTTTTCTTGAGATATACAGGTCAGTGAAACACCCAGCAGAGCCTCTGCATATTTTCCAGCTACAGGACGTGGATTAAATAACTCAAAGTGAGTACCAGTCTGTGAGAGTTGTCTCCCAATGAGCATCCCCAGAATCTAAGGCAGGCAAGTATCTGACATTTAAATTTTCACAGCAACTAAAGGGAACTTTCCAAGAAGATCAATGCATTGTCATAGTTCTGACAGGTTTTTGATCAAGTGGCAGGTATCAATGCAACTAGTTTTCTACATGAACCTCATAGCATGGCTTTATTAAGATGAGGAAAACACATGCAGGATTTGAAAGTAATGTACTCATCCTCATTCTAGATCAGGAATGTTGTCCTATGTAGCCCAAATTACTTCAATAAATATTATAGTGTACCTTCTCAAAGCCTCAGAAAAGCCCTCTAGAGATCACACAGGAAAGCAGACCACATCTAGCACGGACAGATGACTTTTAGCTTTCAGACAGTCTCTTGCCCTTCCATATAGACTCTTTCCAGAAATTTCTGGGTCATGTTTAATAACAAAAATTCTGTAGCACATTACATAACTAAAAAATACAATAGAAATATAAAGATATCTGGAAAAAAATAAAGCTTTTCACACTCTTACTCCTTCAGAAATAAAGATCTTCATAAGAGTAAGACAATAGAAAAGGCAAAGTCATAAGGATATTGACAGCCCTCAGTTATTAACTGACATTTTATGTAACAAGATGATTCATTATAGAAACCAGCAGCAATGAACTATGATTATACAAAGCAAAACAAGACCTGCCAGTAAGTCACTAGGCTTTACTGAACTCCTCCCTTCATCCTTCCTCAAAACACCACCGATTTTTGTGCATATAAAGCACATACAGTATGCTATATGTGCATTTGTCTTTTGTGCTTTTTAGACATGCACAAAAACTATGCAGTTATCTGAGGAAGGCTGACACTGAAATTCTGCAAGTTGCTTAAAATTACAGCAGCAACCCACGTTGGTGATTCAAAGTTGTACGTTCTTCCTCTTCTAAAGTAAGCAAATAAAAATAGAGCCATATACATGTTATCAATACATGTATTTATAATGACACACTGATTCAGCAAGAGAAGTTAGCAGAAGAGAGAGCTAGTGTTAAATATTCAACCTCACGGTGTTGCAACACTTCTTCACTTCAGTATACAAAGCCTAGAATTTGGGCTGTAAGAAGACTGTAGATCCTTCGTTCCAGCATGGAGTGCTCTATGTATGGTCACTTCTCCAACGTGGAATGCTCACCCAGTCTTGTTCTGATCACTGGAGACAAGCAAAGACAAAATACACCAATGTATAAACACTAATGAGAAAACCAGAAATTGTTAAACTCCACAAACTACATTATTGCTATGCTCACATTGGAACTATTGGTTCATTGGTTCATGACATGTTTTTGACACATCAGGTTCACCTACACTACCACTCTAACAACGCACAATTAAATATGTGAATCAGATTTTACAGGACTGCCTTTCAACAGAAGGATCAGATGACTTGAAGTCTGACATAACAAATAGAATTTAACAGTAGATGAGGCCTGTGTTGTGCACAGAACTCACTTTCAGATCTTGCTCTAAACTAGAGCTCTCAAATAGTGCTGTGTTGTTGGAATTCGATGGCTTACAGTCTGCACACAAAGGAAAATTAAGCAAAGCCTTACTTTGTACAAAGGCTTATGACAGATTATGTGATTGGCAAATATTGTGGACATATTAACACTAAATGTTGTATTCGTGCTAACTATGATGAAACATTTCTAGATTGCATACTTCAGTTTGGCCTTAAACATTTACAACAATGAATTAAGAAATTAAAAATGAGTCTGTACCTGCTAATACTAGAATAAAATAGATTTTCCAGCTGTTTTCTCTTGCACATATGATGTAAAACGCTTCAGGAATTTGGGATATTCCCGTTTTGCCACTGCCCGTAACACGGATGCTGGTGCCCACCCTCCTGGGTTGACTAGGAGAAGACAGGAAGAAAGACACTGAAATACACAAAATCCTCTAAAAGCTGCATGTAAGAATGTAAGTTTGTATTCCTGCAACTTTTTCCAAAGAAACAACAATGAATAATCAGAACTTTTTTTAGGCCAGCATGTGCTGTAGTGTTTCCAGCTCTTAACATTCATGTTCTCTGTTCATGTCTATGATGCCATTATTTAGAAAATAATAAAATAAGGTGTGAATCTTTAAGTACTGCCTAAATGGAAGGTAATATTCTTCAAAAAAAAAAAAAAAAATTAAAAAAAAAAATTAAAAAAAAAAGGGAAGAATCAAATTCTTATTTCAAAGAAAACAGGAATCAGTCTTTCCAGTTACTGCTGAATTTGTCTGTAGAATTGCTAGATGATCAATGTCTTAGAAATGATTTTTGAAGGACTTTAAAATGTGCTTCAATTTTGCTGCACAAGTTGGCACTTACCACACAATGAGAGTTCAGCATTTGTCATGGAAGTATTTACAAGTAATTAGGAAACTTCTGAATAGGAAAAAAAACACCTTCCCCCAGAGGTTAGTATTATATCACATGATTTGTACAGGATTTACTACAAGCCGTATCAGTCCTACATTGCAAATATTTACTGAACTCATTTTGCAGACTTTTTTAGTAAGTCGTATAATAGATGGTTAAGAATAATGAGCAGGTGAGCTGCTCCTGAAGTGCTTTGTAGCTGCAGGAGATGATGTACTAGGTATGTGGGTCCAGTACTGTAAAACACTGCTCAATACTGGGTACAGTAACAATACAGTTTGGCTTTCATAAATTTACAATCTACACAAGGGACTTCATCTGTTAAAAAACAACAAAAAAATGTAACTCAATTATACATCTTGCAAACATCCTCATTAAAAATGTACTTGTATCTTCATAAATACCAAGATTTTTAGCCTGACAAGATGAATCAGGGGAAAAAAAAAGACAGCAAAACACAAATTAAAAAAAAAATATTGAAACTAAAAGCCAAACCATCCGAGTTACAGATATTGTCCTGCAGATGACCTCCCCTTCCATGACTGCTACATCTTTTTGAACACAAAGATCACAAACATTGTCCTGTGTTTAACAGAAATCTGCATTGACTTTTTTCTTGCTAGCACTCAGTTCACCAGAATTAGCATACACCTCAAATGTCACACAAAAAAAATACATAGAAAAGATAAAGACTTACCATTAGCTACATAAGTAATCTTGCATAGAATATTATCTCTGCTTATTTCTTTGTTCCCCTCTGGTGGGCTTACTAATGTCTGACATATCATAGCAATATTTATTTTGGCACGGACACAGCGATTGTTCAGCTGCCAGAGAAAAATGAAGAAACATTTGTAAGCCTCCAAGTTGCCTTATTTCTTCCTATTTGATTGCTAACATTTTCTTTTACTGTAAAGCTTAAGACAAAGCCTGTTTTTTGAGGAATGTGCATTCTAGCACTACAGTGATGTACCATGAACGCAAACAAAAGGTACGTATGGAATAAGGAAAGTATTTGAACTGAAATGCCTAAATCTCACATTGGTTTTCTTAATGGATACTAGACATAAGGTATTTCAATGATTTTAACAAATTACTAAGAAAGTATTAAACGGATGACACCTCTACAGACATCAGCAACTTTTCCCTTTTAAGCAGGCAGTGGCATAGACACAAGCAGAGAAAGATTCCAAAGACAACAATTAGTGCTAGTATCTGCAGAACGATGCACACTGCAAATTTAATAGATTCCATATCTAAACTACACAAGCTCATATCCACATTGCCACTCTTTAAAATGTTTTCACATACATATTTTATTTTCATTTTTCTGCAACGCTTTGTTGAGATAAGGCAAAAAAAGCTTTTGTCTTCGAACACACAGGTCAATGTATCACCTAATTAAAAAAAAAACAATGCATTTTGCAGACCTACCTCAACTCTCAGCCTAGTTTACACTTGTACTGCACTAGCATCACCACATAACAGAACAATTGTGTCCAAAAATGGAATAGAAAAATTCTTAAAGCAGTACTAGATAGAGCAAAAGCAAAACTTACAGGAGCGCTGTCATGTTCCACAGAAAAATTGCACACAATCCATGTTTCAGGATCATTTTCACTGAATGCTGGTATCTTTCTGATGGCAGACAGATACAGCACATCTCTTTGAGAAGCTGGCCACACTCTCTGCAGAGAAAAAAATCATATGCTTTTCAAAACGTTACAAATTAAATACTTTTTATACTTAATAGGTCAAAACAATTAAGGCTAACAAAGTCAGACATGTTATCTAAGTAAAAAAAAGTTTAGTCCAGTACTCTTTAATATCTTTATTGATGACACAGGCAGTGGGATCAACTGCACTCTCAGCAAGTTCAAAGATGATACTAAGCTGGGTGGTGCAGACAGAAGGAAAGGATGCCATCCAAAGGGATCTGGCCCAAGCTTGAGAAATGGCCCATACGAACCTCCTAGGATTCAACAAGATCATGTGTAAGGCGCTGCACTTGAATCAGGGCAATCCCAAACACGGATACAGTCTGGGTGATGTGGGTAGAGAGCAGCCCTGAGGAGGAGGGCTTGGAAGTGATGGTGGATGAAAAGCTCAAAATAAGCTGGCAACATGCACCTGCAGTATAGAAAGCCAGATATACCCTGGGCTACATCAAAAGAGGGATGGCCAGCATGGCAAGGGAGGTGGTTGTCCTCTGTGCTCTGCCCTTGTGAAGCCCCACCTGTAGTACTACATTCAGCTCTGGGGCTCTCAGCACAAGAAAGGTGTATCCCTGCTCATGGCAGGGGTTGTGGAACTAGATTGTCTTTAAAGTCCTTTCAAACACAAATGATTCTATGCTTCTATTTTAGTAATTTCATGCTGTTTTCAAAACTGAAACAGAAAATATAGCTATTGTACAGATGCGTATCAGGTGCACTTCATTAAAAAAGCATTAAGGCAACAGTTTAAGGCCCTTGAAAGGTAGGAGAACAATCTGCCATGATTTGCTTGTAAGCTACAAGCAGAGCTAGTGGCTAAGTATAACTACATGCAACTGAAGTCTGCAGATGCATCTAGGCCTCCATAAACATGAAGAGCTAGAGAAAAAGAAGCAAACATTGTATCTAGCATTTTTAAGAGCTGCTACTTCAGCAAGACAGATGTGGTAAACGAACAGTTTCCAACAGAGAATTCCACAAGCACCCAGTAAAAATACAAAGGAAGAAACAATGCAGAAGCTATTCTTCCTGACATTCAATAGAAGCAAAAATGTTGTTTTTACTGTAACACTATAGTTTACACAACAGAAAATTGAAGACTTCTTGTGATGGCATTTTGAACATAATACCATCACTAATAAAATTATCTAAGTAATTGTCTAATTGTTCAAGTGACCCAGCGTACCAGTACTTGTCATCATGCAAGATTTAAGTTTACGTGGGTGGACAGTGACAGGACAAGAGGGAGCAGTTTTAAACCAAGACAGGGGAGGTTTAGGTTAGATATTAGGAGGAAGTTTTTCACACAGAGGGTGGTGGTGCACTGGAACAGGTTGCCCACGGAGGTTGTGGATGCCCCATCCCTGGAGGCATTCAAGGCTAGGCTGGATGTGGCTCTGGGCAGCCTGGTCTGGTGGTTGGCGACCCTGCACACAGCAGGGGGGTTGAAACCAGATGATCACTGTGGTCCTTTTCAAACCAGGCCATTCTATGATATGATTCTATGATTAATATGTACTACTAGTTATAAATTTTCTTTTTGAACCTTTTAATTTACAATTATTTAATAACAATTCAAATGAAACACTTAGTGAAGTTGCACCAAAACTGTTTGGGGGAGAAAAAGAAGCATAGCCAAGTCACAGAACCACATATTACACCAGCAACTGCACCATGTCTTACTGCAAATGCTTATGTGAAATATTCATAGTTAACAACAGCTTGCATTACTGCAAACAGACAAATGTTGAAGTGGTTTGAGTTTCTTGCTTGTAGTCAGTGTTGACTTACTGCTTCAGTTTGCTTTAGATAACCACTGCCTTGTTGGAAGTGATATTACAGATAATATTAAACAGCTCTCATTTCTTATTACATACTGCAGCAGACACATTCACAGCCAATAATGTCATCTAGCCAAGCTCAAAAAGTTGATGAAGTTGCAGTTTCATAGAGAGCTTGATCTCAGCTAGTTTGTTTTTGAGCAAAATTTTTGTTTGTTGAGCCACTGAAGTATTTCAAAACAAGCTGGAGTATTGTTTTCGTAGTGTGAGTATACAGGTGAAGTGTAATTCTTACCTTGTGTGTCTGGTAAATGATGATTGCGTTATCAGCTAAATTTTCCACAACGTGGAAATTTTCAATGGTTGCTACAAAAAGAGAAGAAAAAAAATCAGTAAAATAGCACAGATACTATAGTGGTCAATGTTATGAACAATATGCTTGCTGATACACTGATTCAGACTTGCATTTGAGTCCATAGGGTCTGATGGGATTAATTCCATGGTACTGAAAGAGCTGGCTGGTATCACCGTGAGACTTCTCTCAAATGTTTTTCAGTGGACTTAGGAATCTGAAGAGGTACAAACTGACTGGAAACTGGCAACAGTTGTGCCGATTTTAAAAAAAAGATAGTAAGGAAGACTGTGGTAATTTTAGAGGCCTGTGAGTCCCACTTCAGTGCCTGGTAAAATCACTGAAAAGATTACTCTGGGAGTTGCTGAAAAACGACTTGAAAATGCTTGAAAGATTACAGTTACGAGTGGTACCCAACAAGGATTCACAAGGGGAAAATCCTTTTAAATAAAATTCATCTCCTTTTATGATGAGGTCACCTATCTAGCTGACAAACAGAAGCCAAAATCTTCCAAATCTTTTGGATTTCAGCAAAAGCTTTTGGTACTGTTTCTCACAGGATTCTTCTGGATAACTGTCCAGCATATGGCTAGACAAGTACATAAAAACACTGGGTGAGCAACTGGCTGATGGGTCAAGTAAATAATTTACATCAGGCTGGTGGTCAATCACGAGTGGGTTCTTCAGGGAGGCACTTTCGGGCCAGTTTTCTTTAATAAAAAGCTGAACGCAGGACTTAAATGCATATTAAGTAAGCTTGCACATGATAATAAAATAGGAGGAGCTGTCATCTTCCTTGAGCACAGAAAGGCAAAAAAACATCAACAAATTGAAGGGCTGGGCAATCACCCTTTATAAAGTTTAACAAGTTTAACAAGTACCAGATTCTGCATTTGGAATGGGGCAACCTTGGATATACATACAGACTGGGGGACAAGAGGCAGGAGGATGGAGCTCTGGAACAAGGCTCCACAAGGCACTGGTCACAACACCAAGCCAGCCAGAGCTCAAGGACAATACTTGCAGACATAGGGTTGAATTTTGAGTGCCCCTGCATGGAGCAAGGAGCTAGACTCAATGATCCCTGTGGGTTCCTTCCAAACTGGGAAATTCTATGATCACTAATAACCAAGTAAGATACAAGAACAGATTCCTTACTTTCCCAGTCATTACGAACGTCCACGTTCCAGAAGTAGTGGCAAACTTCATGTCCTGTTACCCCTTTAACAGCATGTGTTGCCTTCAAAGGATCCAAAACTATTCCATTTTCTTCCACCTCTCTTCTGTACACCTATGATCAAATACAGAGAATGAGATGTAGGACAGAAATTGTCAAAATTGAAATATGAAACAATTTACACATGAGCATCAGCTTTTAAAAAGCTGCAATACTAATGCATGAATAATTTGCCAAGACAGTTTTCTCCGGTCACTTCTAATGCAGATATTTTTAAATGACATTTCACATTATGGTAACATTATTTTGAGAATCTCTACCATAAAAAGAACAAAGCTACATTATCACTATGTATAAGGATCCACACAAGCACAGTAAAATAGCTGACAGCAGCTTGCTACCATATAACATCCTCATATTTTGAATCTATGCCATTTTAATACCAAGTTTTTAGCAGGAGAGAAGGAAGCAATCCATAAAGTTATTCCAGGTGTTACACAGGATGTTGCAGCCCTAACAAACTCTAGTTCTAGCTCGAACAATACTACTGTCAGAAGTTGTAATGGCATAACTTACTGAGTGATAGTACTCAAAGAGAACAAGGATATCTGTCTGACAGCAGTTAAGCATAAACCAGATGTTTACCTTCATTTCTCCTTCTTCAACCACTAGCTGCCAATTGGCATCTCCTCCTACATCTTGTAAGGAATAAGTCATATGGTTTTGTACCATCTCTTCCACCTTTAAAGCAGAAAAATATACATATTTTAAAATTTTTTCGTCCTCTTGGACAGGCAGTTGTACGCTACTGGAAGCCACATGTCAATACATCAATCCTGTGCAGTGCTGAACTGGGACAACAGAGTTCTCCATCCAAGCCTAAGATACTGTATTTAAGATACAGATACTTCCGGGCTTCAAAAATAAAAGCCAAAACAATGACTCAAAGTATAACTTAATTCTTTGTGAGTACTTCCCATTCTTCCATTGCATGCCTGAAATGTCAAAACTCCCTACTTCTACCTGAAAACTGTTTCAGTTCAGCAAAATTATTTCAGGTATCTCTAAGCAGAATTACAGCGCCTAGTGACTCTTGTAGGACAGCAGCTAATAAAGAACGCTTAAAAAGCTTAAAAAGCTGAACAAAGGTGTAGGGGTGGGGATGATGAGAGCAGGATGGAAGTGTTGTGGTTTGACACCAGCAAACCCAACAAAGGAACACAGATCTGCTGTGATTCTCAGTTACCAGCAAAACATGCCTGCTCTGCTCCACCAGAACCTTTGCACAATTACAAATTAGGAAAAAGACAGAACTGCTTACATTAAAAAAAATTAGATGATGCAGAGACTCATGTAAAAAACATTCATTTAAAACTAGACAGTTGTGTGCTTTCCTGAAAGTTCAGATATTTGATATATTTTAATCCAGCTGTGGGAACACCTCATTTGTTAAAAATTCTGCTTAATGCATATGGCAGTGGGTGACAGAACAGGAAATGCCTTTTTATTTGCTTTATTATTTTCAGTTTGCAGTTTCATTCTACAATGCTTTTTCTTTCCCTGTCCTATGAGAAAATACTACCCTTCCAAATAACAATAGAAGCAAAAATACAGTATACACTGCTGAGTACATTTACAAATATTGTTAACAATCTACTAAGCTTCACCTAAACAGGGGGTGACCACTAAAATCTGTCACAGCAAGCAATGACCTGACTGACACTGTTAACGTGAATTACTATGTTTTTTTTGTTTTTGTTTTTGTATTTTTTAAACAGAAAAGCACTACACCTAACCATTACTTAACTGATCAACAGAGTAGTTTAAGAATAAAACTGAAGCATCAGCAGTAGTTTTTGCACTGCTTACAAGACTATTTTATAAACGCACCAGGCTTCATAACACATGAAACAAATACAGTAATCAATGAAAAAGTAGAAAAGCAAAATGAAAGAATACTTCATCTTTTCCTTATGTGCTCTGGAACAGAAATACTATATTTATTTTTAATTTAAAGCAGTAATTTTATTTGTACGGTGCACTTTTTGGAAAATCTGCATAAGATCAGAGAAACGGGTCTTTCCAAAAATCAAGTCTCCAGAGAGGGAATGGAGACCAATTTTATGTCAATAAAGCCAAGGGCAGGTTGTCAAGAGAAGATGGCATGCAGCTCTTCTCTTCATTGTCTTTCACCTGTTTGCTCACTAGCAGTGAAATTCCAGAGAAGATGAACTTATTTGTTAGTCTGGTAGAACTTTGTTCCAAGGAAAAAATACTGAGGTAATTAATGGTGGGGAAGATTTTTGTAAACTAGCAAGACCATCCTTTCAGCAGTGAGCTAGTTAACTTAATGTCACATCCTAAAATACTAGGTGATAACTTCTGCTTAGTAAAATCCATGCAGCAGCCACAAATGCAAATCCATCTGGCTATCATTTTTAATTTGTGTTATTTTGATACAGACCTTGTCAATTTCAGATTTGTTTTTAAATGATTTATTTTTCCACCATATTAGATCTCTGCTACAGAAGTTTACCATATGGATGCACAGCTGTTATTGCTGGTATAAAAAACAAAAATGTCCCATTAAACTGTCTATTTCAACTGAAAAGTTTTACTTTTCCAAGTCTCTCTTCCAACCCACCTGTGGGGAGTGAATGAATAGCTGTGTGGCACTGAACTGCCTGACGGGTTAAACAACAACCACCATTATTTTTGGCACCCAACAGCAATGGCCTGAAGGTTGAAATAACAGATCTGACCAGAGTATCTCAAAACAAATTTATTATAAGCATTGCTGTGCATGTTCTCTGAGTTCTGTTGTGTAGAGCCTTACTTGCTGTCTACGCTCCCTCTTTTGCCATTGATCACGCTTGGGTCTGGGTTAATGTTATCAATATTATTTTGCAATACTGTGTCACACTGGCTTATGGCATAATAAACTTAGTGCTTGGAAAGCTTGCAGTACTTTCTGCAGGTGGCATGATTCTGGGCCTTGTTAAACAAAAGAAAATCCATTCCTTCTGTTAAAAAAACCCAGCTTCTTTGCAATATTAAACAGTGATTAAAAAAAGATGAAGTAACATATTCTAGAAGGAATTTCTGCTCTGGTTCACAGTAAGATAAAGGCTCGCAGTAGAAGAAAACTAGCAGCATGAATCTCATGTTTGAACATCATTTTTTTGAGACTAGAGACCAAAACATGATGTCACTTAGTTAACCCAACTTTAAACTACGTCCCCTTCAGACCAAGCACCTGAAGTAATTTTGTACATTACTGGTGTATATATCACTTTACATTTACATATTCAGGAACTCAGTTACTTTCTGAAGAATCAATGAATATATTTAAAGCTTTCATTACAAAACCATTCATACCCACAACCTTACTAGCAACATATTTTATAACATTTCAGTAATAAATCTAGTTGTAGAGCTCAAAAACAGTGAATATTAAAGATCAGTATTATCATCTTAACGTCACTATAAGTGACAAGTGTTAAAAAAAATTACATCTTTATTTTAAAAAGAAGAAAATTTGAAGCAAAGACCATCTCCATCCCACACAAAACAGGTGTTATTCTAATGTCACAAAAATCAGAAATGCAGAAAGTTCAAGTTGTATGCATTTTTATTAAAGCTATCGAAATCAATCCAACAGTTTCACAAGGGTTGGGCCTCTGCAGGAGTGATATGCATGCAAGCAGAATGTAAAAAGACAACCATTTAGTCTACTAATAGAGAACTCCTTTGTTTGTCTCAATGTACTAGTTTAAAGCAAGCAGTGATTCATGTAACAAAAATGCAGGTTCTAGAGAAGATGAAATATAGCAAAGATATGTAACCCCCACTCTACACATAAATACGGTACCTGGGCGCTGAATCTGTGAACATCATCAGAGGCACTGACTAGATCAATGGAAGACATGGAGGAAGAGCGACTATAGGGCTACCAGAGACAGACAAAGAAAAAACCAAGTAATCAGAACAAAGGCACAACAGAGCATTCAGTACCAACTTGCAAGCACAAGATAATGAAGAAAAGGAAAACAAAAGCACCATAAGCAGCAAGCACAGCAGCAAATGCTGATTTCATGCACCTATTATGTATTATGCTCCCAGTGTAGCCATGAGAGGAGCACAGTGTTTCCAGTAACATTAAAATGAAAGTCCACTGATCCTGATCCAAGTGACTTTTAAAAATGTTTAACTAATTCAATCAATTCTGGTGAAGAAATCTTAGAAACTCAGGTTGATAGTTCGTCTGTCTCCTTTACTATCACTGATAATCTTGAAAGAAGTCAAGAGTATTCTAAATGAACACTCAGAACAGTGTTTTTTGAGCCAAGAGAAAACAGTCTTCCTCCAGTTCCAGTTGCTTTAACTGAATATGAATAAACCATGAAAAGTTACTAGAAACACTTACAAAAGAAAATCAATCTTGCCTACCCATACAAATTGTATAGAAACATCATGTATCAGCCAATATTCTCTGGAAATTGTGGGAAGTATTTTACCTTTTGGACAAATCGATGACTCCCCACAGCAGAATATGCATCTCCAGAAGGTAGGGACGTTGGCCAGTGCAATCTGACCTTTTCACTTTGAGACTGCAACAAAATAGGCTTAATTATTGGTAGTTAGTTGCTACTAAGTGTACTATTAAAGAGAGTGAGTCATCCTCAGTCTATGTAATGGCTACTGCATTAAAACAAGAACTAATGCCATCCCTGGCAGGCTTTAAGTTGGCATCCTGATGATCTTTTAAGTGAATGAAATATTCATTAACTTCATCTATACTTCCAGGTGTGTTTATAGATTAAGGAAAATTAATTGGTACCACTAAGGCTACTGCATCAATATATAATAATAGTAATAACCACTGATCAATCAATAATAATTTTTATTTATTTATTTATTTATTACAAGACCAGCATGCAGGCTGTTGTTCATCACTGGCAAAAACACATGCTAATGGTGGTGACCATGCTGAAAAATAATGTTTTGTAGCTGAGAATTTGCTCTACCAAATAGCGTTACTGTGCTCTTTGCATTTGTTATAGTTTCCATGGAAATAAATAGGAGGCATTACTCTCAAAGCAACCCTTATACTTAATGCATGTTATCCCTATTTGATCCTTGCTGCTGTTATTAGCAAAATAGACTTCAGGGCAGTAATGACGTTTTGACAAATACCTGCAGTGTTTGGTATTCCTATTTGCACATGTACCTGTTACAACTAACTTTTATACAGAATTCTAAGATACGTAAGAATCAGAAATGAGAAATTCAATTAGGTTAACATTTGCACTGTAATCCACATAAGCTGTGAAATCAGCTTCTCAAAATTAGTGTTAAACAACATCAGTACTTAACTTTACAAATACCAAGAACTGAATTCTACTTTGAATTGTCAGGAGATGCACCCAAGGAATGAGCATAGGTCACTGAAGCTTCCCATGAAGCGCCCATCATTAACACATTTTTCAAGCATCAGTACCTGTTCTTCCATTTTATCCTGTCTATCAAGAGCAGCTTCAACAGCATCAAAGAATTCTTCTTCATTAATCAGACTATTAGGGCCCTCCTAGAGTATAAGAAACAAGAACTAGTTTAAAACTTTGGAGACATGAAAGCTCCATTTAAATTTAATTTTAGGAGTATGTATGTATTATGTATGTAACTGACAGAATGAAATTCTTCCATATCCATAAAATATTCCGTATTTTTACCAACATCATCTGAAAACACTGCTTGTTAAAGAAAGTTACTCCCTCTAACTGTAACATAGGAGGTAGTTAAACAAGGTAAAAAAAAACAGGAAACTGAGGAACCATCAACATACTTTGACATCAAATTTAAGCTTTAATTAACATACATTTCCTCTTTAAAAATGCTTACAAAATGTCAGAAAAGCAAGCATATTAACATAATTGCACAATTAGACTACTTCTGAGTATTCCAGTGCTTCAGATAAAAATACAAGACAAAAAATACTGGGGATCGTTTACTTGAGAATTCCTGAAAGAATAACTTAACAAAAAGAAGCAGGTAGAACTGAGTACTGAAAACTCAAGTTTAAGACTTAAAATGGTAATTTAATAAAACTAGGCTTACTGTTGTTATTGTACTGTAAAATAAACAAATCTACCAAATCTCAAAAACTAAAATGGATATGAGAGAAGCAGCAGTGCTCAAATGTCTATTAAGTATCCCATATCGTTACTATTTCTCAAGTTCTGATTTTTAAGCAGAAACAAGCATTTGATTAATGCTTGTGAAGAAGTCAAGTTCTCAAAAAAAAAAAGATCATATAAACTGCACTACAGGTTCATTGGCTTGTATTATTTTTCAGAAGGTGGTTTGGACACTGTAGAATTTGAGTAACTACCTGAAGAGGAAGCTTCTGAAATACACAATTTAACAGCTGAAGCAGAATCCTAAATTCACTGCATTTATGATCACATTTGAAGTAACAGAGACAAGTTAAAAATTTATTTTAGTTGAACTTCAGATCTAGGACTGCCTCTGCCTTTAGAATTTCCATATTTGTATTACATACTTATACAGTTGACCCATTAGAAAGTAAAAGTGTAACTACTCCATATAAGCAGTATCGAATGTATTTAAAAAAAAATCAAAATTCACCAGAAATACCAGTAAATGAATTATCTAGACACAAGAAGGACAAGATGAAGATTGATTTTCATTAAAAAAAATTGAGGATAGAAATTTGCCATCCAGCTTTCAAGTTGGAAAAACTGAGGTGGCATGAATACTCTCGCAGAAGCTGATCACCTTGATTTACACATACAATCATTTAATAATAAGCTTTCAAACTCCTGGCTTTAAAAAAAAATGTAAAGCAGAAATGTACCTCATAGTCTGGCCCTCCAAAGTGGGACTTTTTCTTCAGTTCTGTTACAGCATTTTTATATGCTTCTTCTGTTCTTCTCCTTTTTTCTGTTTCCTGCAAAATGACATGATCTTTTGATGCTGAAGGAATGAAATGGCTGATAACAATACATATGCCAATAAATAGAATGATCAGTATAGCTTAGCTTTTTTTTTTTTTTTTAAAAACAAGATTTCCAGAGCCATCCATTTTCTCATTTTGTTTGCATGCACACAGTGTGCATTCATATATACTCTAACAAAACTTGGGAAGTTAAATACCTTGAGGAATCCCTTCCCACAGAATCTTAGAATCAAAGAATTGCTCAGGTTGGAAAAGACCTTGAAGATCATTGAGTCCAACCACAACAAAGAAGAGTGCGAGCAAAAGAATGTGTTCAGCAAAGAAAGTGTGAGCAAGTAAAGCTGAATAGGAAGGGTGATTTAGAGACTAGGGACACAAACAAGACTGATGCATTTCTCTTTTTTTTTTTTTTTTTTTTTTTAATAAGTCATGTGCAAGAAACTACTAGATCAGCAACCAAAAATTAAATATAACTATAAATGGTTCATTGAGGTCAGACCTGCTAAGTGACTGTTTGAACTGCTCAACACCTTGCTCAGGCAGTGATGACAAAGGATGAAGGGTAAAACTGTTAAAATGCTAACTGAATATAGTGATACACTAATGAGTCACTGCATGTAAGTTTCTATCTGTAGTTAGTTGGCACAGGATCCAAGTGAGTCATTTCATGAATTCCACGCAGACTAACAACTCAACATCATTCTCTCATAATAGGTGTATGACTGTATTAAAGCCACTAATTATATCTACATTACATATTTTGAATAAAGATGCAGTGATGCTGGAATCAGATTAAGCCTAGCATTTCCTCTGCAAATTTTATCCTTTAAAATATATGAGAAAGTAGGCTGAACTTCATTATCTCACAATATTTACTTCCGTCTGAGAAGACATTCATCTGATGATAATGCAATGCTTTTAAATCAGATCCATAGCTGTAGAAGACATTTCTACAATCTATGTTGAGCCACTAAAGCAGTGTAGTAAAAAGACAATTCTTGTGTAGATATAAAGACATTTCCATCAGAGAGGATGCAGGGGGCCCTCTATGGGACGAAGTCAGGGCTCATGTCAGGCACTGCCAGGTCCAGACAGCTCCAAAACAGACTCACTGCAGGACGTGGTTAAGCCTACCAGCCATATAAGTGACACTTCTGGGGAAAAAAAAAAAAAACAAAAAAAAACACAACAAAAAACAAACAAAAAGACCACAAAAAAAACAAAAAACGAACACAAAAAACCCACAAAACAAAACAACAAACAAACAAAAAATACCTACACTGGGAGAGAGAAGGAGGGAACAAAAAGAAAGAAACAGCAGAGGGAATGTCAAGGCCAGGGGAGGAGGTGGTGATTGATGGCAGACCACATATCCATACTGCAGCTCATAGAGGACCCCCACACACTGGAGCTGATAGATGTTAAGAAACCGTGGCCTACGGAAAGCCCACGCTGGTGCAGATCATTCCTGACAGGAACAGTGGCCCATGAATGACTCTATTCCAGACCATATTTCCCAGTATTTCCACATTACTCAGGACCAACAAGCTTACTAAAGCAAAGAACCTTAAAATCTCCAAGTTTTTGAGAAGTCTTTCCTATTTAATTTCCGGAAAACCAAGTTCAGACAAGATCATGATCCCCTTTCAAATGTATTTACTCATGGTATGTGAGCTAATCTGCATATGGCATACCAGTAACATGAGAACTGAAGGGAAATTCGGTTTTCTTAACTATTTGCAGCTAAAAAAGTACTTTAAAATTAGTCTAGTGACTAATAACTGATCTAAACTGTCTTCTATATTAACATATTATTCCATATTAAAATACACAAAACTTTGGACAAGAGAAATTCATTTCATCCACGCTCTGAGAAAATTCTGATTAAGTCTGTCTTCTCAGTCAAGAGAAAAAAGTTGTTGTCAGGGGACCACCAAGGAAACATCAAGAAAACAGATCCAGGCTTTTGTACAAGGATGAAAAAAAGAACAGATACTAAAATATTTCTGATTGGATATAGACAAGGACTTTCACTATAGCATATTAAATTTCCCTGTAATGACAGGTGTACAGAACAGAAAGTTTTGCAGTCTCCATCTTTGAAGACTTGAAACCGGATGTAATAAAGCCCTGAACACTCCACTCTAATTTCAAACTCCCCTTGCTTTGGGCAGGAGGTTGGACTAGAGATCTACCAAGGTCTCTTCCAATCTGAGTTATTCTGTGATTCTATTAATGAATTTCAAGTATTGGATGTGCTACAATTCCACCAACTACTTAGAGGAATCAGAACCAAATTAAGCATTGTCTGAAGTATCAAAACAGCTAGATAAGCCCTGAGCTTTGACATAAAGACAAAGAACAGCTAAAGACAAGTGCAAGGACTAAAATGTGGATATATTTTATCTGAATGCCTTTATTATTTGAATCATGTACAGCTAAAATATATATAGTAAGATTTGATGTTATATATGCCATGTGTAAACATGCTAAATTAAAAAACAAGAAACAACAATGGTATAGAACATTAGGCAGTAATGGCAGGCTGACAAGATTGTAGAAGACAAAGCCTGAAATACATCCCAGACACGCTTCCAACACATCTCATCTGAAGAAGAGATTGTGCATTTTGAGTTGCTATAACGGTGGCACAGGATTACTGCGAACTATTATTGTCATGAGAAAAACAGGTAACACCACTAACTAAAAAAATTAATCAACTACTTTAAGTCATGTTTTCCACTCATCTCTTAGAAGTGAAATAAATGATGATCCCTTTAAAGAGACCTTTACAGTTAAACCTTTAAAGAATAGGTTGTTCTCAGCACTGTTACCATTTCACAATTAAGCATTTTGGATTTGCATATCGTTCTGGATAGTGCGTGGATATTCAGGTCTCCTTTAGAAGACTGCAAGTAATAATGTATTATATTAATGCTGTCAGGTTCTCTTCGGATTTTAAAAAATGTAGGAATCCTAGTTAACAAGGGCTGCAAAAAGGAAGTCTATGATGAATGCTACTATATCAGCAACAGTCAAGATGAGGCTTTAACATTTTGTAGGACTAATAAATAATGAAAACACCTAACATTACTAAGTGCTGTACATAAAATTACAAATAATGCCTGGACTAAGAAGGTTAAAAACAGTTGTTGAAATTTCAAGCTGAATAAACTACTTTTTTTTTTGTAAACCAAAGTGAAAGGAAAACAACCTTACCTTATCTAGCCTTTTTTGCCAGCTTTCTTCACGTTTTACCATTAGTTCAATACAGTGAGATAGCGTAGCAAGGATTCCAGCAGTAGTTGCCTTGAATGTTATAGCTTCTCCTTTAAAGTCTATGCCATTAATTCCCTTGGGTGTCACATGTGGAAATACTGAAAACAAACATAAACCATTCACTGACAGCTGCCTTTAATTCAAGTGAGCATCTTAATAGCATGGTTTATAATACAATTGTTTGAATATACTGCCTGGAAAGTTGATTTCGAAACACAAATCAAAATGTGCTAATCATTTGCAGCTATCCACAGGACAAGAAAAGAGATTCAAAAGGAAGAATGCATCCCTTCAGCTTCATCTTGCTATACTCTATTTCCAGTCAGCTTGTAATGCTGTATTACTCTGTGCTCTGCAAATCATGTAGGTGGAGGGAGTGGTAATACTTCGTAACAATAGCATTTTGAGAGCATGAAGTGAGGCCTAAGACAGAGAAACCTCAACATACCTAATTCAGTACTGAGAAAGGAAAAATTAAAAAATGCAATCAAAGCCAAAATGTCATACGCAATGTTGCTCTAAGCTGGCGATTACAGATTTTAAATCTACAAAGTAAAAATATATGATATATATAAAAGTATGAAATGTGTGGAATTATCCAAGTATTGTGGGTTTTGCAATTCCAACAACTACTTCATGCTGTCAACCAAGCCATCTGTTGCTAAGGCTATTTAAATCACTTAAAATATGTGACAAAAAAATACCTATTATATGTCAAACTTACATATAGGTTGACAGAATAACAAATCAAACACCACACATTAGTGCCATAAAGTATTAGCAAGCAGAAGTAAAACCCTGTTGAAGATTGAGCTCAGCAAGCTCATGTACCTCCTGCTATGCCATGGTTAAAGCTAGTGACTTGTCACCCAGCTGGATAATGCATTTTTATTTAATTTTTCTTTGGTTTGTCAGCGTGCCACTGTTATGGTTTAAAAGGCTGAAATAAATATTTACTTTAAGTTTATCCAATAACTGCCTGCATGGGCAAAGAAAAACTTTCAAGAAGCTCTGTTTTTACAGGGAAGAGAAATGTAATTGCTGTCCTCTGATGGTAGAACACAGAGCAAACATAACATGGTCTTAAGCAGTGGTGTAAGCCTCCAGAGGCTTTATACGCTCTTCTTTCACAAGCAATCAAACTATTTTTATTTCAAATACATGATTACAGACCATACAGTTCTTCAAATTCCCCAGTAAGCATACATGGTATGGTAAAACACAGATTTTTTTTTATTCCATATTAACGAAGAATATTCCCTAACAGATGAAGATGATAGGGGGCTGGAAAAAAAAAAAAAAAAAAAAAATTATGTTTCAGAAATAATAATGAGCAAACGAGATCTCCCTCCCCCTAACAGCTGCAGAGGGAACACGGAGGAGGCTGAGATTGAAAGTGGTATAAGCTGGCAAAGAGGCAATGCAGTGGATTCACTGTGAATAATGAAAACTAAACAACAGCTTCACATAAAAACTGCATTTTTCTTTGAGAACTGTAATACCACTAACTTGTCCTGTTGGTGTACAGCACGTTCACCTGCAGGCTTACCAGCAGAGCTGTGCTGCTTTATAGACATGTTTTTTTCTTCAGTACATAATACTGCTAGACATAATACTGCTGAAGAAACATCCATCAGCTGCAATGTAGAAAATTCATTTCACAAATCTCTGCTGCAGTTTGTTAGGGTAATGCAGCAACAAAGACTCATTCTTGAAAAAAGTCAACGTTCATTGAGTCTGAGCTACAACTCATTAATACTTTGATATGGTTTTGAATACCACGTATTTTAAGTCCTTATTCAGTGACTAGTCTCAAAGCAGGAGTGATATGTACCACTATACAAAACACTGGACAAAAACGAACCTGCCAATGCTTATTTCTTTGAGGCGAGGATCTGCAAAGAATGCTGCAAAGCTTTATTTCTTTGAGGAAGGAATCACTCAAGAGGTTCTTTACTGTGTACAGAGGTACTCCTCAGGAGACTTTTTTCTTCCCAAAGCATGTCTGAAGATGACCACAAGCCCCAGCTCAGAAACAGTCAATCTTCAGAATATTAACAATATTTGTCAGATTTTCTATCGGGAGAAGCCGAACATCCTTCTGATTTCTTCTCTACACTTCTTTTCTACATAAACTACAGGATCTAGTGTTTCAAGCTGAATTCTTCCATCAGGACATCTACAGGTTCAAGTTCAAGGATAATAGTAAAAGTTTTCTTGTTGGAGCTGCTCTTCTAGCTTTCTAATCAAGCTGTAGTCAACTGAAAAAAGCTCTGCAATGATTTTTTGCCTACTTTAAATTCAATTTCAACATCTTGAGTCAAGTGATTTCTTTTTAATTATCCTGTCTCTTAAGCATTTTGCTTTACTTCTGAATCATTTTCTCCTTGCTTTCATGATAATGATTTTTTTTTTTTTTTAATACCGTGCTCTTTAGCTGTTCTGCACCTCTACACTTTTAAGATTAATCAGTTTTTACATCTTGTTCCTAAGATATGGTTTTCAACCCTTCCCCAGAAGTCTAAAACATAACCTGTTTGGTAAAATCCATTTTCCAGTGAAATGGAAGATTATTTTTAGATGACAGTAAGTACAAAAATAAAGTTACTTTTTCTCTTCCATTTTATGCCACTTCTGCAACTTATACCACTACACTAATTCTACATAAAAAAGAAATGGGTGGGAGTATTACCCACTTATTAAGTGATACCTATTGTTGATCTTCTGTGGCTGGCAGAAGGATTAATAGGATTAGTTTTCCTCTAAGAATAACCTCACTATTTCAGCTCACTATTTCAGAACAAAAATTCACCACAAATCCCACTGTATTTTATCCAGATTATTTCCTTTATCTATGAAGTTCTAACTTCTGTCTCTAAAGATGTTCCCACAATAGGTTTCACCCACTCTCATTTAAATTAAGCCCAAATCCACCCATTTTCCCAAGCAGATAGATGGGAACACTTCTCAATCAAGACTCTCACATTCCTAGACTGCAAGATTCCAACTGGTAAACGCAGCAGTCAGGCACTCCCTCAATGCCTCGATACAAACAACCACTGTTTCAGTTACCAGATTTTCCAACTGGGAAGCGAACAATAGATTTGAACACCTTCATCGCAAAGAAACAACGAAAAAAAAACTTCCCTATCCAAACATGGTATCTTCAGTAGCAGGATACGAATCTCTACAGTCATGCTTTCTCCTCCCTTCTCAGGAAAGGTGCAGAATGGAAATTTCAAAAGACAATGAGAACGCGGTTCCTTAAACAAATTATAAATCTAATGGTTTGAGCACAAAATACTAGAAACCTGTGTGAAGACAGAAGTTGGACTTGATCCCTGAGGGTCCCTTTCAACCCAGGATATTCAAAAGACGGCTTGAAATTTTTAATGCATTTACTCCTTATAAATCAAACAGGTATTGAAAAAAATAGAATGAAAATCAGTTGTTAACAGAATTGATGGAAAGTAAATGTAACAGAAACAGGAATCATAAAACATGTAATTAGAAGTTCTGCAAAAAGCAAACGGTTGCAGAAATAGTGACCTACAGTAAATGAGTTTATATATAAAGGTATCCGGCCAGGATACCCAACAATTTCTTAGCAGACAAAATTCCTGAATACTTGATAAAGACTTTTTTTTTCCAAGGTGAATATAAGTACATTACTTCAAATTCCTCTTAAACAATGATAAAAAAAAGGACATCACTTTCCTTTTAAAACTTGAAACGTGATCTGATGTACCAAATATAGATACTTTCCAAATGAAATTTTACATATTAGGTGTGCATACATGGGATACATATCAGAGTAATACAGATATGAAAAAATGTTCTAAAGGTAAATTAAGCTGAAACTCCTACACCATCCTACAAAAAGTTTGACAGATACCTCTTCCAAAATGAATCACGCCATGTAATTAAGTACTCACTAATGTTTAAAAAAACCTTCTCATTTTTTCTGGAATTTGTTCTAATGATTTAGATGTACTCAAAAATGTGGACTCTTTAAATAGAGTTGGTGAAACTGCTAGACTTGCTTACAGGTCAATATTGCTTATATTTACTGACACGAAGCACAAAAGATTTATTCAAGAATTTCAAAGTTACGCTCTACTTAACCTCTGATGCCAGCATATAATTAATTAATCCTTAGCATGGAAGCACTTCATATCACTGAAAAATCTGTTCATATTATTAATTCTGGAAGTATGTTTAAAGTGCATTCCATTTTCTCTGTTTCTCATTCCTCATTACCTCTCTTTCTCATCCCTTATTACATTACATGTTGGTGATATTCTGGAAAGAGGAACTGCACAGTGTCTGACTTGGATGGAGTTAACTTTCCCCACAGCAGCCCATACAATAGTGTGCTCTCTGCCTGTAGCTAGAATGCACTGACTATGACTGAGCAGTATGCAGGCTGCTTTTCCAGCCCCTCAATGTCAGTAGGCTGGGACAGAACTGGGGCAGATGGTCCAAACTGATGGTATAGAATATCCCCTTTGGTATCAAAATCAGAAATAAAGCTGGGAAAGGGGAAGGACCAGGGGAGGCTATCAGTATGAAAGCATCTGTCTTCCCATGTAACTGCTACGTGTATCAAGTCCTTGCTTCCTAAGGCATGGCTGGCTATAAGCTTCCATGCTTATAGGAAATAAGCGATTCCTCCTTTTGCTTCTGCAAGGCTTTTGCTTGTTTTATTTTTCCTTTCATTAAACTGCTCCTTAACTCAACCCATGAGCTTGCATTCACTACATTTAGTTCCTGTTCTTTTGAGAAGGAGTGAAAGAGCAGTGTGACGGAGCTACTGGAGTTTACTAGTGTGAAAACATCACAAATACTCAAATACAAAGAAAGCTGCAAGACATAGGAAGGACAGCTAATTATAAAGAAAACAGTAGACACAAAAAAGGCTTATTTTGCCCACATATTTTCAATTCCTTTATAAACGTGTTTAAAAAAAAAACAACACTTAAGTACTTTCTTTTAAAAGATTCCACCTGTTTTGAAAGAGAGCTAGCATAATTTAAAAACTCTGTGAACCAAGATCTAGTAAATACCTAAACCATCAGCATCTAGTGAAAAAAAAGTTGAGAAAGTATAGAAAGAAAGCAAAAAGTTTTTGAACACATATACAACTTCTGGCAGGCCAGCTGTATGAAGATTTTTCAAAAAGGAGGACCTGCTTTGAGTTGGTGAGTCCATTCACTGCATGGACAGGGAAAGATGACTATAATTAGATCATTTAAGCTAAGAATTAAAAAAAAAAAAAAAAAAAAATCAAGATTTTGTTCATCCTATTATTGAAAAATACAGTTAAAAAGTGGTGAAATTATGAGGAGTAACAACACTGACTTAGTCATAATGCAGCCACAGTAGTTGTAAAAAATATACAAGTTGACAACAGTAGCAAGGACAAAGAATGATTATCTATTACAACTCTCAGTTCCCAATATTTTAACGACACAGCTGTTCCAGCAGAATTTTGTGGAAATGACTTCGAACACAACAGCAACTATCAGCTTGACAACCTTCCATTAATACCTGTGTGAATTAAATTAAACTTAACTCATGACAATCATAAAAAAAATCTAACAAATGATAATTTTAAAATGAACAAGAATTTCCTGTAACAAATTTGAAATGCCATTCCTATAGCTTTCCTCTCAGACAAAAGCATAAATATCAGTCATATAAGGCTTATCATACTATTCAAGTTCAATTTCCAGTGAAGTTTAGACATACTTACATTTTTCCCTACTGCTGTTACTGTTATGTAAAAAGTCCCCATCAGGACGCACTGTAGGGAAATCATCTTCATCATCTTCTACCACTGAATTAGGAAGAGAAAGGTAGTATGTCAGGGAAGGAAGAAAGCTGTTCTAATTCTTAGGGTGCATAAGAAGAAACTAGGAGCATTTTCACAGCTAAGCAGCGCAAGATATTTTTTCTATAATAAAAACAGAAAGTCATGATCCTCCTGTCTTTTTTTTTTTAATCCCCATCAGAACCACAACGTAACTGTAAGAAATAATTATGATATTTTTGGTCAGTGTCCAAATGAAGGTTCTTGTATAACTGATTACACGAAAGAACCACAATTCAGCTCTTCTATGCTAGCAAAAAAGTTGGATTGTCTGTATCTATCATTTGCTCACTAAAAAAAGTTTCAGGACTTTTTATAGTGAGAGATAACCCAAAAATAAATATAAACGCCCCAAGAAACATGTATGAATATGAAAACAAGCTGCACTCTGAGAAAAACTATTCAGATACACAGATATCCTCATCTGGGTCTATTATTGCAAGTGCACACTCAAGTTGAACAGTATTCTACCCTCAGCCAATACACCTCTGAAGAATACAATATGGCAACAGCTTTGCTTTTATGTAAGAACATACTGTTCCTATCAAACTAAAACTCAAATGTTTTTTCCAAAGTAATGGTAAGAAATGCAGTTGTAAATTAACTTGATTACATCAAGTGCTAAAAAGATCTTTTTTTTTTTTTCCAATGAGGTTGTTAGCTACAGGTTAAGAGCAAAGTTAAGCAGTTTTTAAAAGGAATCCAACTACTGCAGTGCAAATACTTGAAATTATTTACACAGAAACATTCCCTACAGTATAGAAATTTAGATTTTAAGGAGGTCAGTGTTTCCAATAACAATTTTACCTTTATCCCTCTGGAGTTCATCTTTGGAAACTGCATCTGCACAAGCATCAAAATATTTCTGTAAAGTATCAACTTGTCTACACAAGATGTCTCTAAAGGTTTCCATTTCTGCAAGCTTCTCACGTAAGCTATGGCCCTTCTGAAAATACAAGAGAAAAACATTTCTAATGCTTCTAAATATTCTACAGTAGTTCAATGAAAAAAAGAATTTCTGCAGCCACAACAAAGGTACACTGATGATCTTTCAGGTATCAATTGCTAAAAAACACTGTTAATGTTCAAAGAACATGATTATAAGAATCTATACACAAGTGTTCCTTTCTCATTTTTTTCGCTGGCCTCAACTTTTCCTCTCTGTTGCACTTGCTACATCAGAGCATTCAAAAAAGCTTACTAACAAAAGCTTTGCTTAATCCCAGGTTTGCAGCTATTTGCCTGAAAACAGTCAGCTCTAGTTTTCGAACCGATCTAGACACACCTTTCTAGTGTTGCTCCTCTTCTGCTCCTACACGAAGCAACGCTTATTCGAATAGAAATGTTAAACATTTTAGACTCTAGAAATGAGAAAAGTCATTTGTCATCTGGTATTAATAATCAAACCTGTTAAATCACAGAACCAGCATATCCTTTAATTAGAAGCCCTTGTATGCTCAGGAATACACTGGGAAAGGCTAAATTCTCCTAACAGGTTTGATTTCTCTTGCCATCAGAAGATACTGTAATTTAAAATGGACAACTGCTTAAAGGCATGTTAAAGCTTCCTGTACAATATATTCTTTATTATATGCAGAATTACATAGTAAACCAAAAAGTTGGTACTCTTTCCTCTTGCTGTGTGAGTGAACCTTCACATAATATATCCTTTTCTCATTTGCTTAAGCATCTTTTTTACGCATCCATATTAAGAGAACATTATTCACTAACCTTGAACGAAGAGGTGGATGTTGCAGAATATCCACTTGCTCCAGAAACAAGAGACACCATGGAGCCATGGCGGCGTAAACTTGATTCTGATCCATAGCCAGATTCAGTCTGAAAAACACAAACCGCACAAAAAACACAGGGAGGTTTTAAATATGAGAAGATGCCGTAAAAGCAATTAACATCACTTCCTCTAAAACCTTGTTTCTTGTCACTACGTATTAGAAGCTTAACTCAAATTGCGCCTGCAAGTTCAAGATGTTGATTTAATATCTATGAAGTTAATACAAATCTATGTTTTGTTATCATAATGATGTGGAAAAACAGTAGCTACCTACAACCTGTTATGCATCCCCCAAAAGTCCAAAAACCCATGTATTTAAGGGTATAAAAATTGGAAACTTTCAATTACTTTGGTATCTGTGATCTCCCATAAGCAATTTTCACACAACATTCACAAAATGTACAGTACTCTACAATTATACAGAGTTCAGATGGCTCAGTATGAAGACAACCAACAGTCTCAGTAAATCTTTCCCACTGCTGAAACAGTGATTTTTTTTATTTTTAAAAGCAAAAAAAAAATTAGCAGAGATCAGAGAAAAGCAGATAAGAACTGCCAACAATTTTTCTTGTTCCAGATTTCCTCAGCAATATTCTTTGTATAAAACTCAAAATAACTGAAAAAGAGCATCTGCATAAACAAAAGGCAGAAGACAACAAGATTTAAATAGTTGAATATTACAGAAAACAAAGACTATACCTTGAATAAAAAAGCACAAAAACACAATAAAAATATTAAGTTTCATGAATTTCTTTACAGATAAAACTACAAGCGCAGATATTGAGGAACTGAAGGAAAAATGTTTCTCCATGAATTCATGTAAACAGTCAGAAAAACGTGAATGTATGAAAGAAACAATGTGTTCAGATTAATATTTGAAATGCTGCCAATCGGTGAATTTGATCAATTACACAGTGACAACATTGTGAAGGATCTTTGGCAGGAAAAAGAAATGCTGCAGCACAGAAATCCTGAAGGGGCAGGGAGATGGTGATACAGAATGAGTAATAAGGAACCACAGGCAGCAATAAAGTTCTTAGCTGTTACTGGAAGAACTAGAACCTGCTTTGGAAAGTGAGGTAAGTGTTGATAAATAAATCAAATGAACTTACAGAGTTTTTAAAATGGGGAGTAATGAAAAAATGTTCGAAGTGCTGTTTGAAACAGGAGTATTTGCACGATGTTTGAGTTACAAAGGAACAGAGGCAGAGAAACTCCATTTTGTCAAAATGAAGGTAAGGCTGAAGAGTTGTTAACACAGTAATGAATGAACATGACTGAATGAGATTATTCAGAAAAAAACAAGGAGGAGGCTATTTGGCCTGTCTGAAGAATAAAGCCAAAGACAAAAAAAAAAAAGAATTGAGGAAACATAATAAACTTTTTTTAAAAAAAACAAAAAACAGAATGGATTATCAAAAGCAGAAAAGAAGTTGAAAAAAATGTGACCAAGAAAGACAAGTGTAGTTAGAAATGACTAGTCTAGAAGTCCAGTCTGAAAGAATGTTAAATGATTAATTTACATAACACAACAACAACAAAAGAGGCATTTGTAAATTTGAAAGATTTTATATGGCATGTCTTTAAGTTTGTTGCTTTAATTCACAAGAAGTAGAGAAATATAATAATCTATTTGACACAGAAGTTTATGTTCAATGACAGTTTAGAGTGAAAGTACAGAATGCAAGAAGCAGTTTCCTTAAGTCAAACTTTAAGGATGTTTACATCATTTAGTCATTTCTTACGAACCACAACTTTAAAGCTATTTTACAGTAAGAAAGGTCCTAGGAAAATAGCTATAAAAGAGCTAAAGGCTCCACTTTTCAGAACTGACTAGTTGTTTCAGAGCATGTCCTTAAGGTATCTGTTGGATACAGCGGTGAGCTTTTTTTTCACCCCCTCATTTAAAGATACCAATTGAAGTTGAAGTAATAAGGGGCTTTGATAATACATTTGGGATAATGAACGGCATTTTGAATTGCAATGCTCTTAGTGTTACAGTACAAAACTTACAGCTTCGACCACTGGATTTTAGGTAACCAAATTCTAAAGCTTTGATCAGTTTTCTTAAAACATTCAAGTAGGAGTTTGTGGCTTTTTTTTTTTAAATGGACTTTGAGTCCTCCAAGGATGACAAGTGAAATCAAAGCAGGCAAGATAAAAAAAAAATATTTGAAAGTACGATTAAGAGTTTTTGGCATACAATACTATCTCACCTCAGAAGTGTTTAAGAAGCATAGACTATAAATCATAAAATATTTCTTTTAACATTTCCTTTAAATGCAAATCTAAACAAAATTAAACGTTCCAGTGTCAACTTCACTGTTTACTTAATCATACACTACAAATATTAAGATGATTCTGAATGCGTTCCTACTTCTGCCAGTTTAACAGTAGGATCTTATTTAATCTCTATTTAAGTTGTACAAGTTAGAAAGAAGGGAAAACATTTCACTAGGATATGACTTCGTGAACAGATCAATTTTAAAATGTAGCAAAAAATATCCAATGTATTGCAGCCAGGATTTTAATGATGAAGAGCAGACGTATTCTGATGTTTTCTCTTTCAAGTGAGAAAGGCACATGTGTGAAAAAATGAGAGATTTAATTTTAGTAAGTGAATTTTTGTAACGTCCATACCTGAAGAATTAATTGAGGTCCATTTTAACAGTACTTCTATAGACCTTAGAAAATAAATCCCGGAAGTAGAAAGCCTTGTGACTTACACTGGCTTTAATTCTTTTCTTCTAACATTACCCTTATATTAATGTCCATTTGAATTAATTCACAAAATAAAAGCTGAGTGGAAAAAAAAAAAAAACGAACTCCAACCTGCCTAATTATTCAAGCTTGATTTTTTAAAAAGATATCTTCTCAGCAGTACATTTGACAATAATCTGTGCTTATAACTAAGCAGTTTATTTATTTATCAGTATTTAACACAAGACAGCAATCTATAAGCTTGCAAACCATGCAAACTCAAAGCTGTAACACAAAAAAGCATTTAGACAGCTCTAGCTCTTTGCAACCAAGAAGCAAGCGCACTGAATAGCACAACATGAATCTGAAATCTCTGCATTTATAGATGGCATTCACAAAACTAAAATATTTTATTATGTTTTAATAAATGAAGGGAAAGAGAAATCAAGACTAAGAATAGTTATTCATAAGGAGAAAGAGAAAATAAGCATTGCTTTATCACTGATGCAGAAACAAGTCATCCAGCTCACAGCAGGCACATGCGAGCAGATTAACACAAACAATGAAAGCATGCACCATGCAAAGCCCCACCATTCTACTACCGCAACATCTAAACGAGAGCAGGTCACTGCCGCATTTATGTCTTGCAAAGCAGAACATCATTAACTATTCACTGCAGAAATGCACAATTACATTGAGAAGAGGAATCTTGACACAAGCTTCTTCTGTTCACACAATTTTTAATTTCCCAGAGTAAAAAATCGGAAAAATGAGTAGAGTCCATATGATAGTACTAAGAGTCTCTGTTTGAAAACAAAAATAACTCAGAGAAATAGTACTGATTCATAGCACCAAACGCTGCGGCGAAATTACCATGCTCAGTTTACAGATGCAGTTCTTTGGAATTCCATGCATGCATCATAGATTTAGATGCACTAAAACTGGCATTGGTAAGTACAGCAACAGCTTCGGCTTTCTAAGATGCTGCACAAAATCCAGTAATCCTTCCAAAATGTTTTTTCATTATGACAGGTGAGAGGAAAGAGTCACATTAACCAGAGCTTCATGTGATTCTTTACCGGAGAAGGAGCTGCTATGAGCAACAAAGCAAGGCATCAGAAGTGCTGTTTTCAGTAAAACCGTTAAGTATTCACAGAATCATATTGTAGATTTCCATTCTAGCTCACACTGATCCGCAAGTTAAGGGTTTCCTAAAGTGGGTCAGTAATCCTCTGGAATAAAGCACAGACTTGCAGAAAAGCTCCTCCACTTAAAGATCAAATAAAGCAAATTAAGGTCCCACGTCTTGAAGAATTATTTTGATCATGCCTTTTTTAATACACGTGAACTGCTTCACTGTATGTTTGTCCACAAAGGCAGTTATTTTCAGCTACCATCATAAATTATTTAATATTTTACATAACGCACGCAGCTCCTCCCTCTGAGACATAAGACTCAGCCTAGGAGGTGATGAAACAGACATTAAGATATAGCAACCGTAATCATCTTTTCTGCAGTATTTTTGAAAAAATACCACTGAAACATTTAAAAGATAATGCCACAGTAACTCAAAAAAAAAAAAAAAAAAAGTCTGCAAGAAAACGAGAAATGTGAAAGAGCTGGAAGATAATATGAAGGATTTGGCATAGACTAAGCAGAACAGGTCTTCTGTCAAACACGCATGATCCAAGGGTGATTTTCCAACTAACTGAATATTTCAGCACGTACTTAAAGAAAGAAATGGCACTGCTAACATGACCCAAGGAAAGAGTGCATAAGAACTAAAGGCACTTTGGGACGCATTTCTGTATATGGAAGTTGAAACAATAATTAACACACATCTGCTTTATGAGTTGTTTTACAGGCTCTGGCAATGGAAATTTAAGGTACTGAAAGCCGGGTGGCTATTAGTCAGCAGGAAGACAAAGACAGGAATGTCACAATCCAGGTCACAGCAGTTTACAGCCCTCCTGAACACAGTGTAGTAGACTATTAAGAAAGGTTAAAAAGCAGAAAATGTTCCAAAGTGAACTTTCTTCACATGTGCAAAAACAGGAAAAGAAATATAGACTTTCTGCTCTTAACAGCGATAAACACCACAATTCTAAATAAGCATCTTAAATGCCCAAGACCAATAGAAATTCTGAGTTGGAGAATATGTATAAAAAGGAAACTGATAAAAATAGACGCTATAGCTATAGTACAGCATTGAGATTATGGTAAACATTGTAACAGCTTGCTTAGTCTAACTAACAACATCTTTTGGGTCATTACTACTCAAACTCTGTATAGTTTTGGTAAGTCACTGTATGCTTTCATGAACAATGGGCATCTTTAGCATCAGCAA